AGGAGTTGTTTACAATGAAGTCTCCGTAACATTTGGTTTCAACTCTCGGTTCAACATCGCACAAAGACCATTTTCAGTATTCTCCCTGGGTTAGCAGATGTTCTGAATTTGGCGTGGAAATTTGTTACTCACAGTTAAAGAGAATTCGTATGATTAATGATTAATGCTGCTGTCTGAATAATTACCTCATTCAGCCAGCTTTTCTTCTCGCTTTGCAAGAAAATGTGCATGAAAAATGAGGACAATATCCTCTTTCTGTATTACCGTATATATGGAATCACATTTCTTCTAAGAAGAAGAAAATAAATTTATCTGAGGAAACAAATAACTGACAGCTTTCCACAGTGCTTGTGCACACATGTTGTATCCAACATTTATCCAGGACCACAGCCCCCCTGAAACCCACACTGCACCATTAGAGACCCGGGGCTTGAGGAAAACCCTCCTCATGGAGAACGTGCATTGTTATATACATTGAAAAATCTAAAGTTTCAGGTGTAGATTATCTGAGCTGATAACTATGCACCTAATATCAAATGTCTATAAGCAATTTCTAGACAAAAGCTCCCTTCAGCCAACTCGGTGATAAGGTTTCTTGTCTATATGTGCATACGCATAAGGGGACATTGTTTTAAGGTTGGCTTGAATAATTATGTCTCTTTTTGTGGAAAATATTCATTTATCAATGGAAATTCAAATACTAATTATTTCAGAAAAAAAAATTATATTTTCAGCCAGTATTTTGGTGTCCAGGATTTCTTGTTTATGAACTATCAACATTTTCCATAGCTACCAGATTATGCAGGCAAAATAAATTTCAGCAAAACCCAATCTCGTATTCCAGGAAGGCAGTGTAGCAAAACTGATGCCAATCTTTTTTGAAAGAAACCAGGACAGAAAGCCTCCAAAACTGATCCAAGGAACTGCTATCTGCAGAAATCTGACCTCTACAGAATAAAATCTGCTTTGGGCTCTAGTAAACCACAGCCAGATGAGATAGATGTATATGTACGGCGGCAAAGGGCCAACGCATCTTTTGCAGAGCAAAGTCCTGCCCCTGAAGTCCAAGAGGAGTTTTCTGATGGAGTCGGTGAGCACAAGGACATCAGCGACCTGGTTGAGGACCAGAAGGATGTCCTGCTATTGAGTGGCTGGGCGCTATTCAGGCGTAAGACGTTAGATTTACTAATTGAAAGTGCCACACAGGAGGCACAACAGCCAGGCTGGGCTCAAAATCAGGCATTTACCATTCGAGAAAGAGAGCCCAGTCTTCAGCGTCAATCAGAAAGGCATGTTAGGAATTGCCAGAAAAGGGTTTGAGATCAAAACAGAAAATATCTTTATGCTGCTGAGCGCCTGGTTCGTTCCTATTGCTTGTGGTTCTGTTACCGTAAGTCGGCAGATGAAAAACTCTCTAAGACTCGATTTGGAGTTTTAGAAGGCAGGCATTCTTTATTGCGGCGCCGGCTGCTAGGTGGAATTTCCACAAATCAAGCACACCTATGCCGATTTCACCATTACATTTATACACAAAAATTACAAGGTAGTACACTCCCGGTTACAATGATTGGTTAGTGATTTGCATATAACTATAATATCTGCTGTGTCATTCTCTTCTGTTACTACGCTTGCACAGGGGAAGGGTCTTCACCTGCGCAAGGGTCTTCTTGACCCGTGGGTGTGTTTTTTAGTATTGTAATGAAGGCAGTTCACTTCAGGACACCTTAAAAGTAGGTTTTGTTGCCAAGTTGGCCAGCTAGATATCTACCTTGCCAGGCTGTCACATAACTCATCCCATATACAAAAGAACCTAGGGGCTCTGGTTATGGTCTAGAGAGTAAGGACTAAGGCTGACATGGTCCAGAGAACAGGGACTTCAAGCAACACAGCCTCAGATAACAAGTAACGCAGCAACCCATACATAACGCTACCATAGAGGCTAACTTCTTGAAATCAACACGTTCTTATGGTTGATTATTTCACAACCAAACATAGAAAGATTCAGTAAAACTTAAGATAATCTTCAACAGTTCTGGCTGCCCAGTTCAAAGACTTAAAAAAAATGACTGGGGAGGGTGAAAAGGAGCATCTTGCATGAAAGGGGAACTAAACAGAGCCGGGCTCTTGACTCTGGGAAAGACAGGACTGAGGGAGAAGCAGGTAACAGAGGTATAAGAAAATTGTGAGTGCTATGGAGAAGGAAGGGGGTAGGGAGCAATTGTTCATTGCTTGCCGAAATACAGAAATTGGGGATATCTCCTGAAAAGATGAGGCAGCATGATTCCGATGAAGCAAATGGAGATGTTTTTCAGTTGAGTAAGGCTGTGTGAGTTATACTCTTTATCTCTGGACTTACATCTTTAATTTAAGAGTTTACAGCATACTTCCCCCCACATCCCCGGTTTTTCCCCTTCACGCAGAACCCCCCGTCCCCTATTGCCTGGCCGAAGGGGTGATGCTGCTTTTCCCCCTCCTCGGTGTGACCACC